CGGAAGGCTCGCCTGTGTGGCACAAGTTCCCCAGAGTGGTGTATCACACCTGTGACCAAGCCGCCTTCAATTCCATCATCAAGCACGGCCTGATCCCTGGCGGATTCCCGTACAAAACGGGCAGAGCCCACAACTTTTTCAACTCCACTCCGCCCTGGAAAGCGGAAATGAAAAAGTTGCAAGGTACGCGGGCCGGGAGGCCAATCGCCATCGCGTTTGACATGGAGCTCATGATGCAAATGGGCTACAAACTTTTCGCGACTGACGAGGCCATCCTGTCGCCAGACTGGATCTCGAACCAGCCGATGATCAACGCCTTTGATATGCGTTCGGGCGAATTTTTCTTTATCAACAGGGCTTATGTCAACCATCGGAAGACTTACCAGGAAGTCCTCAAGCAGGCCAAGGCCGAGTTTGATCCGACGGATGTTCTCATGAGCCGCATGGAAATGTTGATGGAAAATGCCCAGTTGAACTTTGAAGGCATCAAAGAGCGCATTGAGTTCGGCAAGCTCCTCCCCTTTTCCAGGCGTGAAGACATTGAAGTCGAGAAGAGTACTGCCACCCGGGAGGGTGAGCCGGCATCAGGTTCTCAGCTGGTGCCCGGCTACACCGTTGGAAAGATGGCCGCCATGACAAGCACGGACGCCTGTGGCTTCCAACGTCGTGGACGGAATGGACCCGGTGGTGGAAATTGGAGTCGAGGGCAAGGTCGACACGGATTTGAGTTGCAATTCAAGGACATTTCCTACAACCAGATCCAAGACACGCCTCAGGTACGTTGTGGCCATCCGATCTGTGGATATCTGATGATGGATGGGCATTTGAAATGCCCGCGCTGCTTCCGGCAGATGGAACCCGTGACCGATGCCAACATCGCCACGGAAGTTGCCCGCCGGGAGGCGATGGCCCGTACCAGAGGAGTGCCCTTCTCCATGGACAAGGTGATCTTCAACCACCCGCGAAGAGGCAGAGTAGCCAGGCAGCCGGAGAAGGGATCATCATCTTCTTCGACAGCCATCCGGACCAGAAGCACCTATGGCAACTTGAGAGACATGGCCAAGAACTACGTGAGATCTTTCAAGAAAAGGGGCTTCAAAGACCTTGTTGACCGACTCGTCCGCGACCCGTTCTTTCAGTTCAATGCGGCGAATCAAAACTTGGTGCCGGAAGCCTTGCTCTTCATTGAGCGTTTGGCTGGCTGCGTGAGCCCGACCATTGAGCGCACCAAAGCTCAGGTTCTTGGTGAAAAGCTTGAGATGGCCACCAAGTTGATCTTTGTGCCATCGTCGGAGCGGGAGCCCGACCAACCCTTGGATCTTCACACCGAGGTGTTTGTGTCGCATCGGGGCGTCTTTCTCGACATTGGCCAATTCGCAGTCTACGTGGCGAAGTTCATCAAGCCAAGGCAAAGACCTCTACCCATTGTTTATGGATGGGGCAATCGTGACTTTGTGCCTGATGCTTCAGATGCCAAAGAGATCGCGAAAGAATTGGTGGAGTTCAGCAAGCTGCAATGGTCGAACTTTGCCTCCCAACAGACGCACAAGGAGTCTGAGACCACCGGCGACGACCGGGAGGTCAGTCTTCCTCATGCAAGTGCAGCCATCAGCCAACCTGAACATCAACGACCCCATCACGAGCAGTTTGAACCGAATCTTGGCAAGCCTGCTCGCGGCGGTCCTTACGGCCAGGGCGGTGGTGGTGGAAAAGGTCATCACAAAGGTGGAGGACAGACCAAAGGGAAGGGACAGCAGAAGGGGAAGGGCAAGCAAGGCAGAAGCCCACCGGGAGGTGTGGCCTACGGTGACTTTGAAGGAGATTCCTTCTGGGTTCAGGGCTATCGCTACACGTGGTACTGGAATCAACAGCGAGGCTGGTACTGGCGCTGGACCTGAACTATGGGATGACTCGCATTGACACTTAGGTCATATCTTTCCTTTTCAAATTTGCTTGCCGGGAGGCATGCCTGTCTATGACAAACTTGGCAGGCATTGCACCCATTGAACAAACCAAAGCTTTGACGCACATTATGCATTATTCCATTCATGTGAACTTCTATGCACAAACTTCTGCACAGTTTGAACGAATTAAAATATCATCCATAACTTCTCAAGCCATACAATTGGATGTTCAAGGCAAGGACTCAAATCGATTTGCACTTTCATGGCTGTACAGTTTTTCCATGCCATGGTGTCCGATTGGGATGACAATAGAGGAATGGTATTGTTCCTTCATTCCATTTGAAGACGCCTGGCGGGAGCCAAGGCCGTGCCGTGTGCAACCTCGAGCCAACTCCGGCGTAAAAGAAGCATGCAAATTGCATTCGAGCATTCGTCCATCACCTTGACATCCGTTGCAAACGAGCCCATTTCGCATTCGGCGTAGGATTAGTCATTGAACATTTTCACATTGACTCAGGTCGATTTGCAGCGGCGGACTACAGGCACATTATTTACCGTAACTGCCAAGCAGTTGCGGTAAACGGGGGGTGTTTTTACGGGAGTACTATTTGGTATTCCCCATACCTCCCTGTAAAGTAGTGTCTGTTGTCCATTGTAATGTATCTATTACTTCATGGCTCAAGGAAAATAGTGTGCGTGCTTACTGGCTGATTGTGGCTTGATTTCCTACAAATATACATTAAATGTATGTCAAAATCAGCTTTCACAATTGCAATGACTTTCAAATGAGTTCTCAGCCTTCTTTTCAGACCGACAGCTGTACATGTATGCTGACTGCAAGGTAATTATTCGACAATGGGTGTATTACTTTGGTTATAGTTTGAATGGTAAATACATCAATCTAGATCGATGATTGTACTTAATCAAATTCACCCATCATCCATTGGTCAAGAGACTATAGATCCCTCCACCAAGTCGACTTGCTCCCTTTCAGCAAGTCATCCAGTGCCCCCATATCATTGGAGTCACTGGCAGTGTAATCTAAGCTAATCTCATCGGAATCAGGCCGAGTTCCACGGGGAGGTAAGATAGAGCCAATTGCTACTCCAAACCCCCTGGGATATGAAGCGCTCGCTGCCAACTTCTTCTTAACGCCAGTCTTAGTTTGGTGCAGCAGGGGTGGTGGACCTGATGACATGATGACATGATGGGTTTGGAACCGACTGGTAACAATGTGTTTCAATTCAGATTGAAATCATTTGGAAACCATGGGAGAATACATATTGAATAACACAAACCAGACTACAAGAACATCAAAAAGGATTTTAATCAAGACACCACAATTTGGATTAAATCGATGTCGAATTGAATGGGTCAGTTGATATAATCTATTGGGGTATGATTGTAATTTTGCAGTTCGAGAGCTGTGCGCCCACACCCCTTAGATCCAAGTAGCGACTCGTTTTTGGCCAGTCTTGTCCACACTCTTGCGTACCAATCCACCAACGCCGTTTCTCCAGGGTTGACAAACACAACAGAAAATCAATCATCTTCCAATATTACTTTAAAATAAGTAGATTACATCATAACTAAATCCAGGAAAAAACATAATGAACATTCTGCAAAGAACATTGGGTGAGATAGTCATATGAGTCGTAGACAAAGTCTGGTTTTACTCCAAAGATGCTCCCCTGGGAAATTCCAAAACTGTCTACAATGCTGAATGCCTTTTGGGTCTGGCAGAAAATGGGATATGCACATTGTGATTGGTTATTATAATTTTCCCTATACTAAAATAAAATGTATTTTTTCTGGATATCCTCATTTTCGGAGTTGTATATCCCCCAACAGCTGCGAGCATCATTCTTACTTCAGAAACGAGAAGTTTGAAACTTTGGATGATACACAGCAGATGCAAAGCACAGGGACCAGAAAGCATTTATCGATTAATATTCGATTATATTCGATTAATATATCGACCATGGATAGGTTGAAATAATATATCAACCCCTATGTCCAATCACCCAGTGATACCCATGCGGTGTCTCCTTGCTAGGGCTGCCATCAAGAGCTTTGTATCCAGCGGGCGCCACAGGCTCGACAGCTCTGGGAGCGTGCCCCACAACCTGGGATGGAAACATGATACATCAATTCAGACCCTATGTCAAGATAATTGTGAAGAACACATGCATGTGCAAACAAGAAACGTTGTATATTTTAGTGTAAGTGAGCCATATGCTCCCATTGGGAATGTTACTTTCCTGCAGGGTGGACCAGAATGCTTGCTGTTGATGTCAATTGCCAACGTCACTCTTGTGGATGCCCCCCTATGTCCTGGCACGGATGTGCATTAGGAATCGTCGCATTGGTGCCCACGCAAAAAGCACCTAGGATCAACACACGGGATGATGTATTGAAAAACAACTGGATCATAATATATAGGGATTGAGTTTTACAACATAGTGTAAGAATTGAGGTTGCAAAAGGTAACTCAATAGTGTAAATAATTCCAAGGCACTGATGTCATTGGTTGCTCGATACAAATGTGTACTCCACGCTGCCATGCATACCAAAGTCTCGGTTGCAGAGGTGAAACAAAAGAGAAACCATGTTCGATATATATAATCCTTTCAATTTCACCTTGATCATGATAGTGCAGTCTAGGGGCATGTAGAGCATTCTCATGCAAAATATGTTGGCCAGCAAAACACATTTCGTTGCGAAACCATCAGGGGACAACCATGTACGGCCTGTAGACGCTGATGACCTTATGTTGTCAGTACATTGCATTCGATTTTTATTCAAAAGTACATCCACTGCAGGCAAGCTACATGAACACCCATGTTCCACAAGGTGGTGCACAGAAAAGTAGCCCCCCTCGTTTTGTATTTCTCACCTTGGGGGCCCATATGGTTTGCATACTTTGATGAGCTAATTTGTGCAAAATATGGCACACATATTCCACAGAATGCGGTTGAGTTGCAGCAGCCAACACTGACACGAATCCCACCGTTCGCATCAGGTTATGATTTTTGCTGTAGATTACCTCATGTCAATATATGTCAATGGATTTGAACTTTGGAAATGTCAACATATCTAAACATGTTCTTGATGAGTTCGAAAGATGCTTTGCCAAGTTTCATCGAAGGCTTTTCCATGGTAGCCCTGGGACCAAAGCCCTCGCGTCAGGTGCCCATCACCACTGCACAGCTCGACCTCAAAAGGCCAATCAACTCTAGCAGGAAACCCTGGACGGGATTGGCTATGGATACATTTTTTTATTATATAAATTATAAATCGTGATAGTTTTTATGTAACCCAATTAACATTGCAGAAATAGATTGGTGATAGGACCTGATAGGATAACAATATATAACACGAAATGCAGTCAATGAACGGAATCATTAGCTTCGTCTTGCTTGGGCAAAGGGATCTGGTTGATCCAAAGCAAGATCGGCAGCAAAGACTTGGGGTTCATGGCTGAACTAGTGCAGCTGCTACCTTTGGGCCATAGCAACTGACAAGCGTTTTTTTGACACACCCGTCCATGTCCCCAAGACATGACCTTCATGAAAATGATCAATTTATCATTATTATGTTCCAACAATTGTCCAATATTGCCCCAGCATACCACAGCTCCAGCGTTGCAACTGGCAAGGCTCTTGCTGCAGCAAATTTCTCTGGGCACGACCGAGGCTTGACCATGTTCGATCATGTTCACACACGAACAGCACCAACTGCAGTAGCTGGTGGTCTCAGCTGATTGTATCAATCAGACATGTTAATTAAAAGGCATACCGAGGCTTAAGTAAATCCGTTGAGCTCTACTATGAAATCAGACAATGAACATTGAATAATATTATGTTGAAAATAAGACAATGAACATTGAATAATATTATGTTGAAAATAAGACAATGAACATTGAATAATATTATGTTGACATTGCCATCGGCATGAACTGAAACTCAAATGCTTTCCTGGGCTAGGGCTTAAGCGTATTCTTTTTGGTCAGTTTCTTCTTTCCGGGTGTCTTGCCCTTTTTGGGCTTGGAACCATCATCAGATGCACCACCTCCCTTGGAAACTTTGGGGATCGATTTGACTAACTCAGCAAGCCGGGCAGAGTCCTTGAAGCCAGCAGCTTCTGCACCAGTCCTTAGATCAGGTTGGTTGATAATAACATATTTTTCTATCTGAAATAACAATGTTTAAACATTGTGTTGAAGTTTTTTTCCATTCAGGCTTCATTGAAATAACACACGATGATTTTTGCTTCACATCTAAGGGTCTTTGTCCATATCTGAGCACCTTTGGGAGATATGTATAGCTTGTACAATTGGCCAGCTGCTTTTCCAGAAATTCTGCGTCGAACTTCCACAATCCAGCCGTCCTGCAGGTTGTCAAGCCGGCTGATGATATCGAATCTCCTTAGTTAACCCATTGTGATTTTTTGGTTGCAATGATTCAAACCATCCCAAATAATTATTGTACATGATAATGGTTTATGATATGCACAGAATTTTAGCTATGGCTCGCAGCTCCAGTTCTTGATTTCTTAGCCTCTCTTCGTTTGTTCACCATCTCTAGCTGTTCTTTTGGCGTGGGAAGTTTCATGCCCACTTTTTGCAAAGTCAACTGCTGAATGCGATTGATGGTAATCTTGAAAGAATTCTCAGCAAAGTCCTTAAAATTTTCTTTGATCACTGTGGTCTCTGCCACCTTTCCTCGTCTTTTCACCTTTGGTTCAACCTGCGAAGCATTCATGGTTAAGTTGTGGTGCATTATAGAAGACCCACAGGGGCTGAGTACAACCCTTTGAGACTTTTGGGACAAAGAAGATGGATGTCAACACATATTGAAATAGATTAAATACTAAATCATCAAATGTTCATTGATTGGTCGTTAAAAACCCAACCAAGATTCCCTATACCACTGGCAGGCCTGGTCAGCCTGCTCACCATCAGCTCCAACAGCAGCCGAGGCTGCACTGGGAACAGGAGTGCCTTCCAAGTTGATACCTGAGAATCTTTGGGGGGACGCAAGTGGATAAGTAATCCATATATAATATATATGATATAGTAATCCCTGTAATCCCCAAATTTACCACCAACATTGTCGATAGTACTCTATATTATATAGTAATGGATCCATACTATATATAGCAACCCTCAACATTGTCGACACCATTTTTGATGGCATAGTGCAACCAAAAAACTTGATGTTTTCGTTCGGAGCCTTCTCATTGGGAGTGAAGGTTCGGTCACTTTATTCTCATCCTTTTCCAGTGCCTTCTCGATGTCATCATCACTATTGTTTTTTCTCTTCTTGTCGCACTTCGTCTGCCAGATCTTTTGACAAAGGTTGGCCCAAAGGTCAATTCGTTTCAAACCCTTGTCATGCTGTCTTGTCTCCACTGTGGTTAAAGCTTCAATTGTTGTTTGGTCTTGGTGCATACCATGACAAAATCGCCAATAGTTGCACATACCTACCCCATCAAACTCGGCCAGTGTCCCAGCTTCCTGTGCAGCTTGTTCAACAGCTGTTTGCTCGGTCTTTCTTCCTTCCTCTTGTTCTTCACTGTCCAGGTCGTTGCCACTGTCACTGCTGTTGCAACTGCTGTCACTGTCGCTGCTGCTTGAGCTGCCTGATGAGTCCTCCTCTGAGCTCGACTCATAATTTTTCTCATTCTCGGCCATTGTCTTTGCATTCTCGCCACCTTCTGTTTTCACCTTCACATCCTCTTTCTCACTTTTGATCTTCTCTATCTCATCACTGCTGCCTTCTTCGTCCTTCGACTCCTGCTTAACTTTCGGGACATCTTTTGCCTCATCTGTCTTTGGATCCTTCTTCTCAACCTCATCTTCGCTTTCAGGCTCTGAGCTCGAATCCTCTTCATCTTTCTCAGTCTTTGTCATCTCCTCTGCAGTGTTTGCAGGCTCCTCTGCTTTGACGTTGTCATCATTTTTCTGGCCTTCCATCTTCTCTGCCTCATCACTGCTCTCTTCTTCATCTTCTGACTCCTCCTCAACTTCCGATGCCTGCTCCATCTTTGGTTCCTTCTTCTCCACCTCATCCTTGCCTTCCTCTTCATCCTCTGAGTCTTCTGCCTTTGGTGCCTTCTTTTCTGTCTTTGACTCCTTCTTCGCCTCCTCATCTTCGCTTTCGTCTTCTGAATCCTCTTCAGCTTCAACCACCTTTTCTGTCTTTGGATCCTTCTTCTCAACCTCATCTTCGCTTTCAGGGTCTGAGCTCGAATCCTCTTCATCTTTCTCAGTCTTTGTCATCTCCCCTGCGGTCTTTGCAGGCTCCTCTTTGGTGTCTTCTATCTTCCCCACCTCATCTTCACTTTCTTCATCCTCTGAGTCCTCTGCCTTTGGTGCCTTCTCTTCTGTCTTTGACTCCTTCTTCACCTCCTCACCTTCGCTTTCGTCTTCTGAATCCTCCTCAGCTTCGAACGCCTCCTCTGTCTTTGGATCCTTCTTCTCAACCTCATCTTCGCTTTCAGGGTCTGAGCTCGAATCCTCTTCATCTTTCTCAGTCTTTTTCATCTCCTCTGCAGTGTTTGCAGGCTCCTCTGCTTTGACGTTGTCGTCATTTTTCTGGCCTTCCATCTTCTCTGCCTCATCACTGCTCTCTTCTTCATCTTCTGACTCCTCCTCAACTTCCGATGCCTGCTCCATCTTTTGATCCTTCTTCTCCGCCTCATCCTTGCTTTCCTCTTCATCCTCTGAGTCTTCTGCCTTTGGTGCCTTCTCTTCTGTCTTTGACTCCTTCTTCACCTCCTCTTCTTCGCTTTCGTCTTCTGAATCCTCCTCAGCTTCAACCACCTTTTCTGTCTTTGGATCCTTCTTCTCAACCTCATCTTCGCTTTCAGGGTCTGAGCTCGAATCCTCTTCATCTTTCTCAGTCTTTGTCATCTCCTCTGCAGTGTTTGCAGGCTCCTCTGCTTTGACGTTGTCATCATTTTTCTGGCCTTCCATCTTCTCTGCCTCATCACTGCTCTCTTCTTCATCTTCTGACTCCTCCTCAACTTCCGATGCCTGCTCCATCTTTGGTTCCTTCTTCTCCACCTCATCCTTGCCTTCCTCTTCATCCTCTGAGTCTTCTGCCTTTGGTGCCTTCTTTTCTGTCTTTGACTCCTTCTTCACCTCCTCATCTTCGCTTTCGTCTTCTGAATCCTCCTCAGCTTCGAACGCCTCCTCTGTCTTTGGATCCTTCTTCTCAACCTCATCTTCGCTTTCAGGGTCTGAGCTTGAATCCTCACCTTCTTTTGCCTTTTGCTTCGGGTCCTGTGCCAGGGGCACATTGGAATATGTATCATGGGTCCCTGGATGATTTGGATTGCAGCGCACTTTCTTGGAATGGAAGTACTCTAACTATTGAGGATACTATACTCAACGTGTCCCAACTGAGTAGAATGTTGCTCGTCTCCTCATCTTCTTCGTCACTGTCCTTCTCGTCTTCCTTCTCTTCTGCCTCTTCTTCGTCCTGAAAGGCACTGGACTGAAATGATATGGTGTAAAGTGGCAGGACATAGGGGGCAACTGAACAATTAGAGGTAAATAATATAAGGAAATTAACTTAATATAATTAACGTGAACCATGGAATGTGGATGTGAGCGATCATGGAAAACCAGTCCTCATTGGTATTGCGTGGCTTTACAGTTCCACAGGGATCACGAGATGCCACAGCAGCAGAGGTACACTTCCTGGGGTTGCAACATGCAGGAGATTATCCCTTAACCACTGAAGTTCAACAAATTTGAGTTTGAATATTTTCCAGCTAAGTATCATATCGTCCATATCAAGCTGGGGAATTTCGTTGAAATCCATCGGGATGGTGTCGGTAACATCATCGCTGGACCTGTGGAGTTGGGGATGATGTCAATTTAACACCATACCTTAAAGACGCACATTGTACCACTTTATAATACCAAGAAGCCCCAGCAACTTCTTTGGAGCCACCGGTGATGTATAAACAACACCCTTTCGCCCAGCTTTTGCATGCTTCAGCAGGATATCATGGCATTTCCAAGCCTGGGACCAAGGGTGTACCTTGATAGATAAATTGATGATAACTGGTCATAGTCCCAAAATGTTTCGCACATATCATATCACACATATACAAAATTTGCCAACCTGCTGACGAATCCAATCTTCACGGGCTTCGTCAGACAAGTGAATTCCTGGGATGATGTGTTTGCAGATTCCAGTGACACCAATGGTTTAAAGATGTTTTAAGGACAAAGTAAGATCCCATCCACAAACATGTTTTGAAACAAAAACTGACGAATTTAATCCCAAGGTCCCACTTTGCGTTTGGCCATGATTTTACCAACAGCCAACCTAAACTGAGTTTCCCGAGGAACAGATTCCAGCTTGGTGGCCTTAAAAGCTGAACGTAGCCATGAATTTCCCCTGATTCTGATATCACCTCCTGGTACCAGATCATCATCCAAAGAGATATTTGTTGGCATCCGAGAGAGCATCTCTTGATAAAGCGACCTTAGATTGAAATGATCAACAAATTTTGTGAAAGAGTAGCTGCAGGATTTGCGTTGTATTTGATTATTGAATAAAGTTGAGGATCTTCCCAGCAGCATTCATCGAAGACCATTTCCCCATGGCTGTACGAAGCGCCACTGGACGAGCAGTACTTGGTTCATGTCATGAAATCATCATGGGCCAATACCCTCAAGTTCGGAAGATATAAACATGTTTTTTTAACCACATCTCATGAAAAACCATTGCGCGACAATTGCCACACCCTCAAGCCACCCCAGGCTGCGGAGATGCCTCTGAGCGGTGTGTGTTGGCAAAGCACTGGTCAATGGGAGAGGTGACATGTCTAGTTGATTCAATATCATACTTGGTGATTTCCATTCATATCACAAGAATCTAGGAATAATTAATTTGTAAATCTAAGGGGCTATTAATGGTGACCCTAGCTAAGGGGTGCCTATTAGAGACCCTTTGGAGGGTCCTGGTATATTTTATTACTTATACTTGAGTTCAAAGTCAAGACTACCGGTGCGCAGTTTCTTGTGTATGCGGTATATACACAAAAGTGTGTACGTATCAATTGCACACAGCACTGATAAACATGTAATATATGGGCACATGGTTGATTTCAATTTGCTGGTGACGGTATCATGAGTTTGAACTCTGACCGGACTTTGTGTGTGTCGCATGCTGGTTGTCGAATGTGACATGTGTGACTGAGATATTTGCAACGTGCAGGCCACGTGCCTCCCCACGACACCACAAGTACATAATTTCGTGCGTGTGAGTGGTTGCAGATGATTTATCGTGGTACATGCATGTACTGACACAGATACTTCCTGAAGCAATATGACTATGGTCAGTTGAGCATCGTTTATTTTTGAGATCATGAAATCTAGAACAAAGGTAACTGTATGATATGTTGCGTAGGCTGATCATGTGTGTTTTGCAGTGCAGTGTAGGCGGTGTAGGCTCTTCGCGTAGGCACTTGTTGATTTGTAGGCGTAGGCAAGTTTGCAAAGGCTGAACTGCAAGCGGCTAGCTTCTCCATGTGCGGTCAAAAACTTGTGTAGGCGCTTGCGTAGGTGCTTTTTTGACATTTCATCCGCGTAGGCTACCTCCCACACGGCGTAGGCTCGCGTACACACTGCGTAGGTACCCTAAGTAAGTGTATAGGACCCAAGCACCCAAAAAAAACACTGCTCAGTTGAAGACTCGACGAACGGATATCTCAACATTGTTGAACACGCGCAGAAACCGCATGCCTTGAATCATGGGCTGGTTGGGGTCAATTGACAAAGTTCTTGGTGGAAGGGGTGTTGGGGTGACCTGTGTGGAATTTAGATGAATTGAGACACCATGGCCGCCCAATATTTGTTGCAGTACTGTAACGTGGTCGTCTTCTTATGTCTTCTTCACATACCATGGATATCTATGGATATCCTTTCTGAACATGATTGCGTATTGGTGAAACTTAAATCAGAGACACGGATTTTTGGACATGCAGGCATCAACCATGCAACTTTTTGACTGACTTGACTCATGCGCCAGCTTGACCAGGTGGCAATCGCATCTTTCATGGGCTCGGCGCTTGGAATCTCTTTTTTCTTGGTTGGGATCTTTGATGTGGTCTGAAAAATAGGGTACCCCACGTGATTGATCGCGGTTGATGATTTGTAAAATGATGACTTGGGGCTTGAGTTTTCGCCCCGGGATCCTCAGTCACGTGCCCAGGAGACGCAAAGGCCGCCGTGGCAGCTAAAGCTGAGGAGAAGCGGTTGGGCCGTGGTCTCGGATGGGCCAAGATCACCTGCAATGATACATTGACAGTTTTTTTTGTGGAACATATTTCAAAAGTGATGATGATTTGCGCAGAGGTGTGACCAGAGAAGGGAACAATGAACTCCGGTCAAGATGTGTTCTACTCGTTTGAACTCAAACCACAACTATTGGAACAGCCAATTCAATTTCTTGGTGTATGCCCCATTTTCAGAAACTTGTTCGCTCCCCATTCGTTCACCATTTTTTGTCGATACAATCAATTCTCCATGTTTTTCATCAATTGGCTGCCCCTACTATCATACTATCCATAATTAATCACATGTATCAATATTTATCCATTAGATCCCCATGAACATGAAATCTCCATTTTCTCCATGGTGAAATCATGGTTAAATCATGTTAAATCCAATTTTTGAGCCATCGAATCTCCCATGATATCATTGAACTCCATATTTTTCACGGTCCCCCCACGTCCGATCCGGGCCCGGGGCTCCAGGAGGCTCCGAAAGGTGCCTCCGCGGATGCCACAAACAGCGGCCCGGAACGCGAAGGGCACGGGTTTCACACGGTGCCATGAGATGGGCAGCCGGGCAGCCATAAGACGTGGAGATTTCATGGAATATATATAGAAATATATAGAAATTATAGAATTTGTAGCTCAAAAGTCGGATTTAACCTGATTTATCTCGATTGAATGTAGAATAGGGATTTCATGAGATATCTAATGATAACGTTGCGGATTTATAACATAATAAATGGGGAATTGGAGTTCATAAACTGCCACTATTTTGGACAGACTGAGTTAATCTATTGCAACTCCCACACAAGATAGAAAAGTAAGATCCAATACTGCAACAATGGCAATTTAAATTTACTTTTGCATTTTTTCTGGGGGTTACTAAAGATCTTGTGCAACAAATTTCCTCCGGTTGGAAAAACGGACCATGTGCAGTTCGCCCCGCTGCACAGTCCGGCAGTCCGTGTCCGCTGAGGCCTGGCTCCGAACTCCGCGGGCGACTCCGCAGCCGCACCGGTCGAAGTTCCGCGTCCCGTGGCTGCCGTTGCTCGGCTGTGCGACGGAGATGAATGGGGGTTCGTTTCAGACTTCGACACTGGGGATGACTGGTGTATCTGACATAGGTTCTTAGGTTCACGTCATTTCACGTCGTTCATTTGGACTTGTGCAACCTGACGTTGCAGCATTTTGCAGCATCGTTACCTACCAGCGCGAGTGTGTATGAAATGAAAGCTTGCTAGGTGCTGTCCATGTACCTTATTCGTTGCGATATCCGATAGCTGGAGACATGTACTTGCATTTCTTTCTTGAAAACCAAGACTGCTGGATGTACACTCAGTGACAGATGTGTACCCCCACACCATAGGTCAGTATGTAGCACTGGCACACATCACAGAGGTATATGGAAAATACGATTGATTGAAATTGTTGGCAAGTCTTATGACGTTCAGTTTGAAGTCTGGCCGGACTTTGTGTTGCAGCATAGTGGATGTTGAATGTGACATGTGATGACATGTGTGACCGAGAGATTTGCACCATGTAGGCCAAGTGCCTTGCCAGACAGCACAAGTACATAGTTCCATACGTAGGAGTGGTTGCAGATAACTTACCACGTCTGACTCCAGACAAGTTCCGAGGGATGTACTTAGCAGATGTTTCCCCAGTAGACTTAGGCAGTTCCTCGCTTCTTCCGATGTGTTCTTGACCCAGACAATTGGAAGAACTGGATAAGACATTTCTCTTTTCTCTGGGGTCCATGTGTGCCAAGGCTCACCGATATGACCTGAAAGAGCCACGTGCCTTTGCGCAGTTTCTTCAGGATGCAGACATCCGATTGATCAGAGCAAAGTTCGATCCTCAGTCGTTGCAACATGCGCAATACTTCCAATACAACGACACCACATATATTGAGGCCACTGGCTCCGCGTAGTTTCATCATGTTTTCATCCATTGCCGCTGCTGCTGGTTTCAGTTCGGAAACATAAGCTAATTGCTTTGAGCAACCCCACTTTTGGGTGGCGCAAGTCAGTCTATACAGTCTATAGGTTCAATAAATTAGAAAGAGCAACACATCCCCTGGAGTACCTTTCAAAATCCACCTCCACAACCGGAGTGTCTTGCTTCTCTTCCAGGTATCTTCATGACTTGGCCCAATCCAAGCGGCCGCTTCCGCAGCGACAAGAAGCGGAGCTTTGCAACTTTGAATTTGATGGCAAGGCCGAAAGTGCCTTAGTCAGCCACGCAGAAGTGCAGAATTGGGCAGCAGGAGCCCGGACTGCGACCATTTGCTTGGTTTCACATGCATGGGAGACTCGGGAGCACCCCGACCCTTGCAGATATCAACTACAGCTTATTGCTGATCGCGCTGCGTGGTATGAAGCTGCTTTTGAAACTGATGTGTGGATTTTTTACGATTTCATGTCCTTGTTTCAGTACGAGCGCTTGTTGTCGGAGGAGGAAAGAAGCTTCAGAGCAGCAATGGCTAACATGCATATCATGTATGCACATTAATGCACCATGACTTTTATAATAGAACATCTGACTCCCACGGATATGTGGGAACCAACAATGAAAAATGACCAAGAACTCATTCCTGTTTGGGACGACAAACTGCAAAGCATCAAATCGAAACCTTTGAATTGTCTCATTGAAAATAGAACTGAACACCTTGAGCGCGGCTGGTGCATTGGTGAGATTTCTTGGTCTTCACTTCGAACACATAATTCACAAAGCCAGCGTATTGACTGGCTAGGTTCCGACCAAGTCGAACCTGGTCAGGGTCAGGGTTTAACTGGTAAAGTGCCGTTGACCCCTGACAAATTCAAGGAAAGAATGAAACGTGCAAAGTTTACCCATAGGGATAAAGACTTGCCGATTGTCGTTGAACTTCAAGAGAAGATCTTCGACGAAAAAGTTGCGGTATGTGAACACCTAGTCCTGAAAGGACTTCCAGAACAAGAAATTTTTGCCCTGGCGGAGGCGCTGCCGTTGTACAGAAGTCTCAGGACTTTAAGGCTCGACACCTTCCAATGTGGCGAAGAAGCAGCAGAAGCCTTTGGCAAGGCCAGGGACTTGGTTCAGTGCATTTCTTGCGACAGATGGTCATCAGTAGATCAAAACTATCAATGAAAGCAAACAAAAGCAGATTTTGCATGATTTTGCGATATTTTGCGGGTCCATTGGCAGCCCAATTTCAAGCCATAAATTTGTGTCATCATTGCATGTCATTGCCAGGCTTTGGCCACGAGTCAAATCGTGAGTCTCGAGCTCCGAAATCCACGGCCTCAAAGCGGAGCCTTCATGGGCAAGGCGGGGAGCTCTTCCCAAACTGTTGAAGTCTGGTGAAGTTGTGGGGCTAACTTTGGCATCTTTGGCCTGTGGAGGTGTAAGATGGTGTAAGATGGTGTAAGATGGTGTAAGATGGTGTAAGATGGTGTAAGATGGTGTAAGGTATATCACGGAGAGTGTCTTTTCTGCTTTCAGATAGAGTGTACACATGAGTGTACCCAGTGGGATAGCGTCAGCATTCTGCGAGAGCAAGAGACAACTTTGGGTAGCAAGAGCTTCGGTGTTGTCTCAGCGTCTGCCATTGTTCTTTGTGCGCGGCCAGGCTGTGGTTGATGCCTTGACAACAAACCAGTCGTTGACAAGCATCAGTGCAGAGGACGAATCTATATTCGATGTTGCAGCCAAGAAGGCTTGGCTCAAGCTATTTCACCTGTTTCAGAAAGTGTTCAATATAAGCTGTATCTAGCAGCACATTTTATTGCGTTTCCCTTAACAGTTCCTTAACAGATCTTCACAGATCTTCACAGATCCTTACAGTCAGATTTTTCTTAAGTTCCACTTTTTGCAGCGTCGCAAATGCTGCCTGTGTCACCTCTGCAGCGAGGCCCTGGCAAAAGCCTTGAGGAGGAACAGATCCATCAAGGACAGGCTGCCGCTCGACGCACCGGTTCGTCTCAAGGCCGGCTGCGACGTTGCCGAGCGCCGGTGATCAACATGTGGCGACAGCGGGACCAACAGGTGACCAACCGACTCAACCGACCCGCCTTGATCCGCGCCCTGCCAAGTCATGCTTCGGCAGGTGGTGGCTGACGCCTTGGAGAGGAACTCCCTGGTGACCAGCGTCACCGTTGACCCCGCAGATGATCAGATCGACGACCAAGGGGCCAAGGCCTGGTGGGGGTATCTTTCGGGCGGACAAAATGGTTGACAAACTGGTTGACATGGAAGCGTCTCTGGAACTTCTCTGTGCATCCGTTTTCCAACAAAAGGGAGATGGTCATGGTATGTGAGGGGCGATGTATTTGGGCTCTGAATTATATAAACATATGACAAAATATGTTTCACATTAATTCACATTGTATCACGGAGTTTTTGCTATGTTTCCTAAGTGGCTAGGATGCAGCTGTTGGCGTTGCTTAGGAGACCTGTATGACCTGTTGACTCCTGTTGAACATCCGGCTGGTTGAGTGTCAGATGTTGATGAGAGCCGCCCTGCTTGGATGTCGTTGTTTTCTGCAGCTTGCCTCTTTTTGTGCAAATCCAGGCGGTCGCCCAACTGTTGAAGAATGGCAGTCCTGTAGAGAGCATCGACTTGGGCAACACCTGCATTTCCGACGACGGAGTCCAGGCTTGATATGGCTTGATGGGGTGGGCTCGAAGGATCTCGGATAAGGTGCTGGTCGAAGTGGCTCCGTTTCGTCCTATCGTGCGTTGCATTGCGACGCAACTACTGCGACAACGCATGCACTGGTCCTGCAACAGGGGAAGCAAGAGGATTACAGGACGTATGGTTCGTAAATAACAAAGGGTGTCACTTGGGATTTCTCTGTTCTGTTTGACAGGGATGTTCACAATGGGTTTAGTTTGATCATTTGACACACACGTACACATTGTCACATGCTGATATATTCGCTGAAGAATTGCCCAGATTTCTTTTCCGCAGGCGCTTGCAGAGGCTCTGCGCTACAACCGGACCTTGGAGGTGCTGTGCCTTCACGGGGATCAAATCACCGACGTCGGCGCAAAGGTGCCTTTTCCCATGTGTGGCGGTGCGATTGGAGGTTGAATCGCACTTGACAAGTGCTGGGGTAACTTATGACACTTATGACTCTGAAATATGCTGAATACCAATACCATCCCAAAAAAAGTCCACACATTTGCAGTACTTTGATGAAAAGACCGTCTTTTGAGCGTATTTCATAAAAGGTCGTCTTTTTGCCAAAAGTTTGTCTCTTCTTGAAAACTGCTGAAAACTCTATGTTTAATTGTTTTGGATGGGTCTTGAAAGGTACGGTATACTTGGACAATTTTGATATTTATCCCGATGCATTCTTATTTGCCATGCCATTGTGTATCCATTAATAGTCCCATCCCGGATGTCCACAACATTACAGTATATGGTGCCAGGAAACCAGGAAACAGCGCCAGCGATCAGTCATGACAATTTTCATCGTGTTCATGGTGCCCAGGTAGCTGTATTGTGTGGGACCTGTAGAAAACCCGTACTAACCCGTAGAAAACCCGTAGAACCCCGTAGTGCAATTCGAAAAGATTATGTTTCACACGTTTTAGAAAAAACATGACTGTAGATCACTCGTATTTTAGCCGTGGAAACCCGTAAAAAACCCGTCCGAAAAACATGGTTTTCTGATAGTTTTTGGGGGTCGTGGCATAATGTGCTCCCGTATGTTTTTTTAGGCCTTCTGAGCATGTCTCATAGCTTCAAATTCGATGGTCTCAATTGATGAAACACCTCTGGCTCCTGACGATGTGAAGGTAAAACAAAGAAGTGGATTGTATCCTGTCAAAGTTCCATATAGCTGATTTCCAACAGTTCGCCTTGTTGAGAAAAGATCGTTCTTTCCTAGGTGTCTGCGATTTCAAGGGTTTTTGAATCTCAAGGTACATTATGTTTTGCATCGTTTTGCTTTTCAAGTTGCGATCGGTGGGAAAAACACGAAGGAAAAACTAATTCAGGCAATTTCCTGACAAGGTCAAATCGCGCAATATGTTTCCTTGGTGTCAGCTGTTCCTGCCACTCAGCTGCAGGCTTTGGCCAAAGCCTTGGAGGCCAACAAGACCCTGAGAAGTCTAACTCTGGACGGGTTCTACGAGGCACCTGGGTTCGTTGGTTTGCAACGGGTCCCGGGCTGGTCGTGCTCACGGGCTCAACTGGGTGCCAGGCCCTCGGGACGGTGGAAGAAATGAAGAGAGGTCGAGGAGACGATTTCCGATTCATTTCGACAGACGAAAAGGAAGCCGAACGGTGCTGGGGCCTCAGAAGTCGGTAGGAGGAAGGCATGATGGCTGATGGTGATAACTCCGAAGGTTAGTGCATTTTTGTTTATGATGTAGGGCAGCCGAAAAATTGAATCGTTCAACGGTTTCTGCACCACAGCTGTCAACAGTTCGCCCAGACGGTGAACGGTCAGCCACTTTGGCGACGTGGGCTGCAGCGGCGTTGCTGCCCTGGCCGAGGCCACGGGGACATTTTTCGGGCAGTCGACGACGGCAACGTCGGTGCGGTGCGGCACCTGCTGCGCATGGAGCCCGGCTCCGTGCAGCAGACGGACTTCTTTGGCCCGGGACCCCAAATGATCCACGGGACTGTCAATGGGGGCTGGAAGCACAACCGGAGACTGTGCTTAATCTGCAACTGTAACGCATCAAGATCAGCAAGGCGCTGGATATCAAGATAAGTTTTTTTTCACGATCTTTCAAATGGATTTAGTGGAAATGGACCTTGACCTTGATGAAGTTTCTCAAAAAAACGGCAGCCTCCGAGCCTTCCCTCGCAGTGTGTTGGCGTTGGGCCGAGGCGACACTCCGCTGGACAATGCAGCGCGCGCTGGCAGCGCAGAGGTGGTGGAGCTGCTGCTCGCGGCCAATGCACCGGTGGATGTGCAAAAAAATTTCGGCCGGCGGCCTCAGTTCGGACACGACTCGTTTGGCTTCTATTAGCGCGTGACCGTCTGTCTGGAGATAGTCATTCATAGATCTTTCCAGCAGAAAAGTCATTTGTTAAGACAGCCGCCAAGTGTCCACATCTTCCGTGTCTAGAAGTGAATTCTTCGATTTAAGGTCATTGAATAACTTGGTGTCACATTTGTTGATACTTTTTCCAAACAGAATGCGCTGAAGACCTATGGGGTTTCTCACAACCTTGGCGAAGCAAATCTCCTTACACACGTGTTTATTTTCTTTTGCCAGGCTTTTGACAGATCTCCCGCAATCTTTCTCCCGGGGAGATGGAGTTCGAATACATTTGACATAGGCTTTGAATCTGCTTGCTCTGCAACCGTTCGTATTGGTGTGACGCATCAAGGCATTCGGTACATGTTTGGTACCCTTTCGTAATATGTGTACACTGCCTCGGCTGATTCAAACCCTTTGTCTTCAGCTTGCAGTGTGTTCTCTCGCATGCCTATGACAAACTTGACATAAGATGATACAAGTTCACAAGACTTGGATGACTATAAGCAGTGAATAGCAGTGAAATGATGGGGTTCAGTAAAGACATGCAGTTAGACTCACCACAACGTTAAAGCTTGTGATTGGAAGGTCAGGGATATTTATTCCTTTACTTCTAATTTAGATAGCTGGAAAAAATATGACAGTTTGAGTCCTTTCAGGAAACTTTCCAAGCAAACCATCCTTGGAACCCGGTGCATTTCTCACGACCTTGGCGAAGCAAGTCTCCTGTCTCCTGACACTGTGACCGTCTGGTGAACTTCGTTCGATCCCAACGGGTTTCGGTTGTGACTCTTTCCTCCACATTCAGCGAGAAACGTCTCTGCCGCATGGGCTGCCCGAGGCCGGACTCCGTTGCACTGGGCAGTTACGGAAGGCCACGTGGAGGTAGTGAAGCTCCTGGTGGAGGTGGCGTCGCTAGCGGTGCAAAACAAGGCCGGCGGGGGGCCTCAGCTGCAGGGTACCTTTGGATCTCTGGCCTTGGCGCTTCGTCGTTGGCTTCACTTGGTGGCAGCCTGCATTCAAGATGCAGATCAAATTACACGTTTTTTGTAGAGGTAATATTCACATTTTGTAGTTGAAAGGTATTTTGATGAAGTTTCTCCAAGTTGGAGAGGAGAAAACAGCTTCTTTAAGCAACTTGGGTTTTGAACAAGTTCGGTTTACCATTCGAAGGTAAGACATGTAGAAAAGGATGATTATGCAGTGCAGATAAGATGCTTTCACCATTTTTCACATGGGTTCATATAGTGTAAATGGGGCTTGATGAAGTTTCTTGAAAGAAAAACCGGCTCGCAGTGGCTTTGAGAATGGCTTTGTTCAAAGCCTTCCCTCGCAGTGTGTTGGCGTTGGGCCGAGGTGACACCCCGCTGCATAAGGCAGCATACTGCGGCGAAACAGCGGTGGTGGAGCTGCTGGTCGCGGCCAATGCACCGGTGGATGTGCAAAACGATGGTGGCTGGGGGCCTCAGTTCGGTCACGACCTGTTCGGGTCCTTCTTGGCGCGTGACCGTCTGTCTTGAGATCGGAATTTGCATCTCTTTTGTGCAGAAAAGTCATTTGTTAACATAGTCGCTTTGAGAATGGCTTTGTTCAAAGACTCAAACGGTATATATTGGTGGTTCCGACATGATCAGAAGGTTTTTTCATGGGCTCAGCCCCGTTGGTCACCGCTGTGAGGACAAACTCCGTTGGACTTGGCGAGAAAGAAAGGGAAAACCCAAATCGTCCAGCTCCTCGAAGCCGTGGCTTGGCCGCACGGCCGCAGCTCGGATTCTCCACCGTTGCAGATGTTGGCGCCGAGGCCCAGGCCGTTGCACCACCGGCCGAATGAAGGCCGGATGCTCAGAGACTTCTATGTGATTTCTGCAAGTCTGAAAAACGTCCATAGGATGTCCACCCTCGATGCAGGGTGTCTATGCTACTTGCTGTTGGAATCAGCTGTATTTTGGTACCATGTTTTGGGCCATTGTGGATGAATAGAAATCGTTTCTTTTGGGTCATGCAATCTCCTTAGACGTGAGGAACGTGGTTATTCTTGGCACATCTTGGTACTGGTTTTCTTATGGTTTTCTGTTGCCTTTGACTCCAGGCCATCCGGTGCAACCATGAAATGCATCCGAATCTCAATGACGACTTTTTCAGGGTTTGTAGAGGTCCCCATGTGGAAATGGAATAGTGGAGCCATATGGAGGTATTGGTCAGATCAGATAGGGATCCATTCGAGCGCGGCAACCAATGAGGCAGCTTGTTGGGAGCCATCGAAGCCGGTACTTTGCTGAGCATGGAAACTTGTTTCACGGTTTCACATTTCTTGGCCAAACCACCACTCGCACACTGCCAATGTGGTCATTTTGAGGGATCCAGGCAAATTTATTTATGGCTATCTAGACATGCCTGTAGTGGAACTGCAGCAGAAAGTAGTATTGTTTGGTCATCATTTGCTATAACGCTTAGGCCATTGTTTGTCAATCGTGCCTCCGTGAGTCAGAAGAGCATCTTGCAGTTTTGTATCTCGCAAGAGTGTCTCACAAGAGTCTTCAATCCCAAGAGTGTCTCACAAAAGTGTGGTACAAAACTGTCACATCATACAGTCTTCCAAGAGTGTCTTACTCACAGCAGATCACACGAGCGCGTTACAAGTGAGCGTCTCACAAGAGTGGAATAGCTTCACAGCGACATGTTGTTGTGTTTTCTCATGTTTTCTCAAGGACTCTCGACTCTCCATGTTTTGTTCGGGTTTGTGGCAGCCATTTGTGTTGTATGTTCAAAGCCAGCAGATTGTTGAAAATGAACAATAGGACTATGTTGGCAAAAGCCAGGACACACGAGGCAACGTGCAAGTATGTGGATGTGTTGCGTGCCAGCACCGGCATCAGATCAAAGCAGCTAAGTGCCTGAGTCCATGACTTCGAGCGGTGATTCGAAATTTTCATTGGCAAAATTGCCAGAAAATGTATGACATTTTAGGATAGTTATGGATAGTTTGTTTTTGGAAACCGATGACATCCGATTGCAATCTCAAATCTGATCAAGGTGACCTCCCAGCACTGAGAGAGGTTTTCCTTGGATTTTCGAAAACTGTACAAATTGGAGATTTTTTACAGACTCAAAATGGTTCGTAACTAAGTTCTGATCCAGATGTTGGCTAGTTTCCCTAAGTTCTGCTGGTTATATTTGGATCATCCAGGAGTTGCTAGATGTCCCATTTTGGGGATTTCAATGGATTTCAAACATCACCAATACAGACGGTTGTTGGACATCATACCGTATAGTTGTTGGGTGATGGGACGACATTTCACTGCCCTTGTCATCCCTCCATAGTTTGTGGCTTGAAACCCGTTTGAACAGACAAAACATGTATTTTTTGTGTTTTAAATCACAAAAGGTAGACGTTTGGATTATTTTTCTAAATGGTTCAGCCCCCATTTTTGACGATTGGTTCCGGTCGCCCCAACGAGATGATTCCAGGTGTGTTTTCTGCATTTTTCTACAGGAAGTGGACGCAAACAATTGCAGACAGAATGGAAGGATTTTTCAAACCAGAACCAGAACCTTAGGAGCTTAGGAGCCTGGAATTGGACCAGTCAGGTCCTGGAAAAGATTTGAAAGAACCAAAACTTGCGGCAGAAGTACAAAGAGCTAGGTATTAATTTGGATTTGCCCTCCTGGATTCCCACAGCGTTTCTCTTTTGATCTGCTCTGGGCGTGCTGCATTTCCACATGTTTGGCGTTTCGAGCTGTTGACAAAGTGCGGGCATCAAGTCGGCTGAAAATCAACTCTTGGCAGCACGGATGGTTTCTGAGTTTTGTCCTGATAAAGACAATTAAGTTCAATTTCCTCCAACACATACCTGCCATAACCCCAGAAATTTTGAGCCTACGGCCAATGGCAGCGCCGCAATCGTGCTCAGTCGTCGTGACGTCATCGGAATTATCCCCAAATGATAGCAGCATATAGCAGCTATGAATTCAAGGTGAATTCTGATGAAATTCAGCCAGGAGACCGCAGTGCTGCTCAAGGTTGAGTCTGCTGTCAACAACCATTGCTCCTGTGATGTTCCAGGCAAACTTTCAGCACATGATGCATGTTGATCATGTTGCAAAGGTTCGAATCCAACGTAATCGCTCATCAATTGCTTAACTGTGGGCCTAAAGTTCCAGAACCGAGCATTGATGAGGATTTGAAAAAACCCATAGTATGATCTATATGAGTATGTCTTAAAACAGGGAGACTCCCCCGACTGGGAATTTTGATGGTGATACTGATAATCCATTGGAATTGGGGTCAAATCTATGTTAGCCCAACCCTTTGCAGGGCCGATTTTTTGACCAGACATTTTGACGGCTCTTGCTGGTCGCCAAGCGTGGCCTAAACGATGGACGACCCTCCTGCAACCCCGGAGGATGTGGGGCGGCCAGATGGTCCAGGGCGCGTCAAACATTGATATTGAAAGTGTTTTCTTGGCAAAACAAGGCGAATGGCTACAATATGCTACAATTATGGAACCCCGGGTGTTGAGTGTTTCTGGAGACGATGTATTTACTACAACTTCATTTTACTTTCAAATTCCTTTTTTTTCTGCAATTGCTTAGCTCGATGTCGTTGTTCTTCCATGGCAGGACTACGAGGAATGGGAAAAGAAACAAAAGGAAGAACGCCGCCTGCAAGCGCAGGTGCACCTCAAGCGGGATTGTCGCAAAATACGAAGACCTACTTGCGCAACAACACACGCATGGGATATGGTTTCAAGATGTTTCAAGTTTCATATCTTGTTATTTTCCGTCCACTTCAGAATGGCACAGAGCATGATTCATGACAATTCAAATCGATGAATATTTTTCCATGGGGTTGAAACTGCCAACAAGTCAGATATGTGTTGATGAAAGCCAGGATGTGTTTTTTTTTGTCCTCCTGATTTTTGGGAGCTACTTATGTTAATTATTTATGTTGCGGGTGCAGTGGGCAGTTCCATTTGATTGGGGTTGTCCACCCATTTTAAAGATGGCATTGATGTTGGAATAGACATGAATGGACGGTTGAAAATTGGCAGACAATTTCGTTGCAGCACGCCATGGCTGCAGTTTTCTGCAAAATAGTAAAAATAGATGAAAATAGCCTAGTTTCGGTTGGCTCATCATTGTTTTGCGCTTGAAACCATGCTCAACATGCGACATTTCTGGTCCTCAAAAGGAGCAACTGGCCGAATTTCATGCACAGCGACAGCGAGAATTGGAGGTCCCAGCATGGCTTAGATGCAAACCAATCTCCGATTTTTTGTGCATGATACTTGCAAACACTTTGTCACTCCCAGGCAGGTCTCAAGCAGGTTCGCGTTCTTTTTCAGCATGGCTTGTGATTTATTTCAAAATTTAAATCCTTTTTGATGCTGCAAATGAATCATGTGACTAGGTGAATCAAACTAGTTTCAGTGGACTGCCGGTTGCATTTAGGAGACTCTAGTAACAACTTTCTACTCAACTTTCTGCGGCCGTTTTGAACGCAGCATAAACCTGATTCATCAATGGTATCCCCGACCGATTATTCATCCGGGGTTTACGTTAGGTCCAGAGTCCAGACGTGAGATCTGTTGGGCAACAAGTCATGTGGTCATCTTTGCCAGATGTGAACTACTTCGATTCTTATGTTGCCGCCACCGCATTTACTGTTCTAGCATGTTCTAGCATCATTCAGAAGCATGTGGTAAAACCAGTAAGTAGCAAACCATTCAAATCAAAGACCATCTCCACATATCTCCACTATCCCAGGCGTCAACCTTTTCGTCTTTCATTTGTTGTCCTGCAGTTGATCTTCCTCGTGCTTTGGTCTCTGAAATTTGACCGCCAGCGGATGGTTCACAGCTAATTTCACCATGGTTTGAAACAAGCCTTAAACAATTGGGGTTTGTAGTTTGGGTTTCCACATCACAAATACACCATGAATGTCTTAAGATGTTGCAGAAGTATTATATATATAGACTCCTGCAAGCGGCGCACCACCAAGATTCACAGGCGCGAAGACAAAGCAGAGAAGCATCGCAAGCTCAAGCTGCATCGCAAGCCATGGAGGAAGCTTTTTTTTGGGTCATGGCCATGTCATGGCCATGTATAGATGTTGATGTAACATGCCAAAAAAATGTGTGTCCCCTATTTAAGTATAGATACCCTCTGGTTATGACTAACATAGCCATGGAAAATGGATGAACATGGCCCATTTATAGATGGTTCACCTATTAAAAATGGTGGATCTTTCCAAGGCTATGTTAAATAGCCAGATGGTATTTGTTGCCAAAATTCATGGAGATCGCAAGCTCAAGTTTGTGATGTTTCGTGTTTTGATTTCCACCTGGTACTTTGACGGCATCGACGTTAAAGCCATTCGGGTGCACTGGACATATTGGAAGATCGAAATCCAATCCAATTGAGCGGATCACACTACAAAGGGAAAATTTAAAAAGAAAACAGCAGTCAGGGTCAGGCAGAATGCTGATTGTAGTCCAAGCTATTCTTGTAGATCTACCTTACACAAATCTATGGGGCGAACATCTAGTGAAATACCATGAAATAACTGGGTATCTATTGATGAAATGGGATCTCCATACCTTCACACCCACCTCATCAAAGGTTTACTCTAGATAACTTGTCCAGCCACAGCAGATCATCAGTGGCTCCATCTGCTGCTTCTCCGTTGCGTTTGGCTTCAGCCGCGTCCCGCACCAGCTGCATTTTGATCCTCCACTGGGCTGCTGCCCTGAAAAAAAACATGCCTTGGCCCCAGCACCGGGTAGAGATGATGGCGAAGTTGGGGATACAACTGGTCATGCCATGTTTTTTTTCTTGTTTCCAAAGAAAAGGAAGACATTTGGGAAAAAAAGGGGCACCCAATTCCTAGCGGTCCTAGCCATTGTGCAATTCCTGCAGTGGATGATGTGACTTTTTTGAGCTGGGTTCCATCGAGGTCGTCCACAATGGCCTCGTATGCTAGCGATTGCGGTAATTGGTCCGAGAGCATGCTGAGCAACCCGGATGTGCGCCACCATTTCGACCACCACCATCATCACCATCACCATCATCACCATCATCATTGAGACTTGGCTGCGGGGTGGAGACAGATAGCGACACAACTTGAGATGGGTCATTTTGTGAAGACATTTTGTGAAGACTGTATATACAGATATATATTAGAATAGGCAAATCATGCACACCTGGCAATTAGAGTTGCACAGATGCACATGTGATTGTTGCACAGATACACAGTAATGATCCTTTCAGGCCATCATAGCCATCATTGAAGAGTGGCATGGCGCGCAAAGATCGGCTCCACGACTGCACGACTGGCTGCCGGGCTGCCGGTTTGATGACGGGTTTGGTAATGATTTAGTGAAGGAACTGTGGCATGAAGCGATTCTGCATCATCATGATCATTCTCCGATGAGTGGGGGGAATTCCGACCCGAAAAATAGAAAAGCAAATCATCATTATTCTAGTTGGACTTCAACTTTTAACTATTCTTTTTGGGGTTACTATAGATATATAGCGTGCCTCCAGATGGAAATTCATCACTTTTCAGTCCTCGTTGCCTGGGGCACATCGAGTACTGTACATCGAGGTCGATGATGAAACGACGAAGCATGGAATCGCGGCTGTGGCACTTGTTGCAACAGGCGTGTCATCGGTAGTGCTGGGCTCCATTTGATCGACAAACTGGAATTCGTAGCCTGAGGTCTTGCAATACAAGTGCTTTATGCAACTCTGCTGTTGACATGGTGCTAAGCCACGATCATTAGCAACTCCGGCAGGTTCGAGATTTGACTTGAATTCCTGTGAATCTGCAAGACTATAGTTGACAGTATCTTGGTTTGTTCCTGTTTTCTCGAGATCTGAAGTTAATCACTAGACTAGTTTGGCACATGTAAGAGGAATGCTCATAACCCAGTGCCAACTCCGAAACAGCTTGGATGATTGAAGACATTCAATATCCTGGTTCTGGCCATGAACGGTTTAAGGCTGGCAACAGTATTTCACCCCATTTCACCCACAATGGTTTGAGTCCCGCCTAGAAGCCCTGGCTTAGTATGGACCAGGGACTGGGATTTGATTAAACTGTAGTATCCACCAGATAGAAACGCCAAATCCAACGAAAATCGACAGATCATTTTCACTTTTCTATTGTTTTTTCTTGGGTCTTCAATCTTTTTTTATTTTTATTTTTGGAGTATTATAGATTATTATTATAGATTCATCATTTTCTGGCGATTCGTTGGCGATTTCCAAATGCCAGGTGCCTGCAGCTGAAAGGCGACGGATCTTGGAAGCTGAGCAGCAGGGAAAACCATGGTGGATATCAATGGGAGTTTTAATATGTTTAAATGCGGGGAATGGCTTATGAAATCTTATGAAAAACTTCTGAATTCCGATCTTAAGATCTTTTAAGTTCGAACTAGTTTGAAAAAACATGTCACTGAAGCTGGTTGGTGGTTGCCAGATGTTGCCAGTGTTGTCCATCCCAAAGATGCCATGATGATCTGAATTCATACGGTAAAATGTTTAAGACATCTTTCCCAGTCTTCGTCGTACCCGATTTCAACATAGGGGCATCCCAAATATCCCAAGTTTGATCCCATATTTGTGTGTGACCTCTATATTTCCATGCCGTATTTTAATTACAATTACCTCCAAGTCTAACTGGACGTGTTGCTTTTTTTTGGCCTCTTAAGGTTTTTCCATCAAATGTCAACAGAAAATCAACCCCCATCCCATGACCCTCAATGGGTTCACCCAGGAAACGTTATCTGAGACCCAACGGCTGGCTTTGGAGCGCTGGGCGCTCAGCGGAGGAGGTGGTCGCCACCTCCCGGCTGCACTGCCGAGAAAGACTTCAGCAACGAAGCGCACGCGTCGGCGTGCGGGTGGGAGGCTCCGGCTGGTGATCCGTTTTTTTTTGGAGGTTGGGGATGATTTTAAGAGTAAAAATGTAGTATGGTCCAGTATGGTGTAGTTTTTTTTTGGCTTTTAGATCGAATCTTTTTGACTGATGTTTTTTTTGGTTGCTTCAGCTGGAATGGTTCAACTGTTCTGGACAGGACTGGTGTTCCTGGCATCTGCAGCCATGCTCATGCTGGACAGATCCGCTATGATGCACGCGTCTCATGCTGGCCCTTCAGGTTGGGGGGTCGCCAGCCATCGGGTTTCCACAAGGATTTCCCAAGGGCTTTTTGATCTTCATACAGGCTCATCAATTTATCGGACTTTCTGCGTCCTGACTCAGAGAAAAACATTCATGTTTCGATATTTTCCTTCTTGGCAGAATTAATGGTTGTTGCCATAAGTGAAGAAAACACATTCCCATATGTCGATGGTTTAACCTCCATTTTGATGGGTCAACACCCCAAATTTATTGTAAACCAGTTTAAAACTTCAGACTTAATGGTGACTTCCCCAAACATGTTGTTACCAAACAATCCCATATTTGTTGGCAAAACATGCACAATATTCCTTGATTCACTCTACAAAGTGTGTGGTATAAGTCACACATCCGCTCCAAATTTGAAGTTGGTTGAATCCTGATCCTTTCATATTGGCGGGTTAAATTCAACTATCTCAAACACCAAATCGACTACCACAAGTTCAAAAGGTTTACCATCATTATTGCTATACAGAATTGCGTGGGCTATCACCATCTATCACCTATTTTTGCAACAATCTATAGTTAGTAGCACTGCAAAATCTTAATTGTGCTTTAACTATAGACTCCCAAGCACTTTTTCAGATTTTGCAGTGCTACTAACACCAGCTGGTGAAATTTTTAGCACAATAACAAAAATTATCCCAAGTGTGTTAGTAGCCACTCACAATTTAATAAACCACTTGTAGTGTTATTATTTTCCATTGTTATTTAACCACTAATAACAGAAATCATCCCAAGTGAAATCCAATGGCCCGAAAACTGGAGTCCTTGGAGGCTCTCCTGTCGTATGTCCAGTGACCTGAAGGTCGTGCTGAAGCAGCTGGAGCTGCTGAATTCGGTGCCGCCAAAAAAGGGTGGAGATCTTGAGGAAATCCGTTAAACCATGAAAACTTAGCGGCTTAGCAGAGCTTTAACCATGGTTTTTTACCATGAAAAATAGGGCTTCTAGCAGAAAATATAGAGGGTTGAAATGATAGATACGGGTTTAAATGAGGTCTGATGTCTGTTGAACTATGAAAATATAAGTGGTTTTACAGAGGTTTGACAATGGTTTAGCCATGCAAAATAGGGGGTTCGGTTTCAATGGAGCCATCAACAAAAAGATGTCTGCAGACAGCTCTCACACGGGCTTCATTTTTGTGAATTTTGTTGAGTTTTTGGACAACACCGCTGATGGAGATAATCAAGACATTGGAGCATTTCCAAACACGGGACACTTCTACATTTTCTTGCGGCACGTGTTTGTTTTCGCCTGGGAGGGAGGGGGGCACGGCTTGTTTTCGATGTTTGGCGGATACCCGTCGGCTCGTGTTGAGTAGATCCATGGCAGGTGAAGCGCCGATTTGTTGCTTTGGTCCAACAATGCTCCTGGCGCTGTGGGCAAGGTGGGTCGGCCATCGTGCTTCCAGTTGACATCTGGGTTTGTCCAAAAGGGGGATACCCAGAAAATTGGTCTGTGATCAAAATGTTGCCATTGCAATATTTGGATATTTCTCTCCTAGTTTGAGACATCCACTGTTTCTTTCACTTCTCACCCTTTCAACTTTCAACTGTTCTTGTTATCTGTGAGATCAGTGAGATCTGTCATTTTCTCGTTGATCCCATGCAGGAGGGATATCTCGTGGAAAGCCACGTCACCCCCAAATCCACAAAATTCACAAAATTGAACCACGTACCACCAGCATTTTCCAAGCCCAAAAAACTCTTTTCCAAAGTCATTCAATGGTTATACCCGAACATTTCTTGGGTCAAATCCCCATTTTTGCTTGGTAGTTCACCATTTTTCACCCAATTTCACCTCCATTTTCCGGTTTTCCATCCCATGCCCCCTGGTCGACCGCTGGTGCCCCGGAGGCAGCGGCGCCCTGCGGGACTTCCGCTGGCAGTGCTTCAGCGAGTGCCTGGCTGCCGAGCTCAGGAGTCGTCAGGATGCGGAGCTGGACAGCGGGCTGCGCTTCGATGTGCCATGGCTGCCACGGTGTGGAGGGCTTGGGGGATGACGATGGGAGGGAACAGACGAGTTTTGAGGGTTTGAGAATTTGAAAACCACCATTGAAGTACTAAGTGACTAAGTGGGCCATGTTGATCAGGACATTGCCACAACATTACCAATTTGCCTTGGGCATTGAACCAACCATCATGGAGAATGTGACAAGCCATCCGGGGTTGTCTCAAGCTTGGTCCCCAGATTCCCCAGTTCAAATAGTGAGAAAATGATGACTTCCAAGCCATGGAATAGCTTGGGGGTTCCAAGTTTTGAGACAACCACTTTTGAGGAGCAGGGAGAAGCATGTTGATGCTAGATGATGCTAGATGGGTGCCCAACTAAATTTTGTCGCAAAACATGGGATGATGAAACGCTTTTTGATGCTTAGGAAGAAATTGGGATTGCCGCGTTTGTCTCAGAAAGGGATGATGCAGATAATGTTGTTTTGAACCACCAACAAGTTTGAGAGAGTTCTGTGTCCGCTTTCAAGTCAACAACTGCTTCAAGATTCACATTTCTCCAAAATCAGCCAAATCACCAAAGAATCTGAGGCCTGTGTTCCCAGCTACTTTCTCTTGGGCAAACGTCTTCACACGCCGTGTTTCCCCGTGACCTGCTCCGGGCTCCGCCTGGGCCATGCCGCCTGGCGATCCCTCTGCGACGCCTTGGGATCCCTGGGATCCGTGGATGGCACAGCGAAGCGACGGAATCGCTACACGGCGCTACGGATGAGCCCAGAGGATCTGCAGGACCAAATGGTGGATGGGATGAAGATGGATGAGTTTTTTTTTTGAACGAGTTTGGATTTTTTTGGTGTTGGGAAAGGCAGCATTACCAATGCCATGTGGTTCCATCCCTTTTGGTCACGTTTAATTACTTCGTATCCGTTACGTATCGAGTGCACGAGCCCGAGACAACTACTGGCATCATCAGCGTCCCCAAAACATGTGCCAGGAGACGTGGCAGAAGATTCGGCACGTCTACTCCTCCGTGTGGAGTGCCGCAGGACAGAGTCGCAAGAGGCGGCAGTGCTGGTAGCATGAAACCTGGAAGCTATAGGGTAGCAACTTGGAATATAAGCAGATATGAGCAACCAAAAACTTGGGAATTTCTATTGCAGAGTTAGTATATGAACAGATATATTGATATGCTGTAGATTAAAACTTGGATATAATTAGTGCATACAGCGCATACCCAACCAAAAAATGATTAGCAAATGGATTGGTAAGTGCATATCTAAGCAATCCAGGATGAATATAGCCCGGTATGCGCAAGTTTGTAATTCCAAGATGTATAAAGTAGTTGGACTGCTAATGAGTAAACCAGGTTTTTTCAACCCTGGGCTGACATTACATGAACAGTTTTGAAATTGGCAGTTGACATTGTCAAAATGTAGACCAAGGCAAAACATTGCTAAGTAAGTGGTTTTTAGCTGGCTGTGACTGGGATATGATGGATTTAGCTCAGTAAGAGGCATGAATTGCCTGTCCAATGGGCTGTCCAATATCACATCCGCATGGATTCAGACACAAATCCATCAACATAATTACGTATATTCCCTAAGAAATCGCCACAGAATAGCTGAAGAACTGGTTTAATCATGTTTAATCTCCATATTGTGATTACACTTGCAATCCCATCATGACGATGGCAACGCGGCAACGTCAGGCTGGCAGCTCAGTTATCAGCCCTCGAGCGTGACTTCGTGAAGCGGAGCAATGCTCGAAGTCCAGCGCTGGAACTTCCGCGACGCAACAAGGAGGCAGACGGTGCTGGATGTGTTGCAGCGACATTGACTCCTTAATGAGGTAAACCATGATAAATCCCCAAAAAAATCATCCCTAATAGAGGTTTACTGTTGTTTATACCCCTTTTTGGGATGATCTAAAATTAACCCCTTCTATGATTGGTTTATGGGATTATTTTTTGATTGGGTAAACACCCCATTACTGTATTGGTGAAATTTGCTTGGACCCCGAACTTGCTGGATGAAGTTTTCGAACAAGACTATGATGGCCTTGGTTTCGCAGATTTGAAGCAATTGTTTATTGATGCCCAGATTTCAGTGGTAGAATTAGCCGCAGTAGCCCTCTAGATGGCTCATGTCTTACAAACTTTCTAAGGGATCATGCTTGGTGATCGTGCCATCCATTGATGTTTGGCAGGATGCTGAGCAGAAGATCTGCAGGCTGTTGCAACGCTGGAGTAAGCGTAGTGGAAGCAAGTTCTGATGCGATCGGATCGGTTGGTGACCCTGGTTCTGTTGGTGTCACATGAACTGCGCAGATCTTTGAAAAATTTGGTGAAGTGAATATGTGGCGCTTGCTCCCGCTGTTTTGGGACATGAGGGCAGCAGGACTCTGCCAGGACTCTGGGTCCATCTCGCTGGAAAGCGGGAGGTGAGATGGAACTCCACCTTCCAGCTGAGTTCCAGGCTGTTCCATGCCTCAGTGTCCTGGGAAGGAGGTCCAGATTTCCCCAGCAACGAAATTTCGTTTGCTTCAAGTTGTTTGTTCCTGAAAAAAGGTGACCTATACCGTTACCGTGACCTATACCTGGACTTTCGCTGATGGCACCAGCCAGAATGGCGTCAGCTCCAACTAGTCAACTAGGCTCAGGAGGCAGTCCCAGTCACCCGCCTGTGCAGAGTTGGATGACGAAAAATGGAAGGATCAGATGGCAAAAAAAAGATGCTGGTGCAACTGGGAGGGTGGTTGATAGAATTTGATGAATGTTGAACACTATTTGGGTGTTATTTGAAATCATCCCAACTGAAGTCATTTGTGGCTCATTCTGAGTCGTGAACACTCGCCTTGCACACAGCAGTTCCACCTCTTCCGAATATGTTTGTTTGTGCATGTCCCAATCAGAGAGGCTGCTGTGGATAGTGCAGCCTCAATATTCTACCAGCCAAAAAATCTGCAGCTTTGGATGTGGAGGTCTTCATGACTTGAATATCTTGAATGATCTTGAATGTTTGGAAGTGAAATGGTGGAAATCTTTCATTTGACCCACAGCTTTTGCTTGTATCCACATGTTTGAGATCCACTCTGCTCCGTCAGGACCCTTTGCAGTTGCTGAGTTCAAAGGCGGGCGGTGTGAAGAACAGACGCTGATGGCATATTTGCGGTGCCCAAATAGGTAGGAAAGGGAAGCCGCTTTAAATTTGCAAGCAAATCCAAGTGTTTCTATTTAGGGTCACTATGTGCTGGTAGGGAAGATTGTGATAGGAAGTTAAGCAAGGCTTTGCCCACTGTCAGCCGATTTAACAGGACTGGATAATCCAATGTTGGGAATGACGACTGCAATTTCGTTGGGAATAGATCTGCTTATCAAGCATAGATCCCGTTGGGAAATCCAAGTCTCATAACAATGACCTACGGCCACATTGGATGTCTCACAGACAGCTCCATTTTACCAATTCATGCGGATCCAAAACGTCAACTGGAGTCGCCAAATGTCTAATGTTTGCACAGATTGAACCTGGAAACATGGGTTAGCGATGGCTAGTGTGATGTCTGCCTGCCTGAATGTGCATCCTACTTCGTACCTGATGCATCTACTCAAATGAATAACCCTGGTGAATAGTCCTCATTCCAGCCCCTGTAAAACTGGCTCACAATCCAATTCACACCTTCCCAATTCAGAATAGTTCAATATATGAATCATCATGATCTTTGTTGCTCAACCCATTTTTGAAGCTGAAAAACCATGTTATCCCATGTGATTCCCGCATGTTTGTTGGTGAAATCCCCTACGTCAACCTTCAGGCCTCGAATGCCTGTGCTGCCGGCTATGCAGCTGCGCCTGCAAAGCCAGGGCTGCGGATTGCCGAGGCTTGAAGGATGTGGGGAAAGCCGGTGAGTTGCCATCAATGGATTGCTATGGATTGCTATGGTTAGGATATTACTATTACTATGGATTATCATTTTTAGGTACAAGAATTACTATGTGTTTCTCATTTATTATGTTTAGGTACAATAATTACTATTTTATCCAACTCTATTATACTATGATTCTTGTGTGAAATTATAAAATAGTGGTGCAATGGGACATTTCATGGGATTTTGAGGATTAAAGCCTTAAACATTGAGATTTTTTATGAGATATCAATGGGATAGGTTTGACCTCTTGTAATTTAACTGCTTTCTATGGAACATGAGCCATTGATGATTTACCTGGCAATTTCTCGGAGTTGGGATTTGCCATAAATCGCTGTGACCAGAGGAGGAAGTTCCAGTTCTGTGGCTTCAAAGGGCCCCAGTGATCAGGCAAGAAGCCTTTTTATTGTTGAAGCTTTTGAATGGTCATGTCTCCATCCTGGTGAAACAACCCCGGCCCGTTGTTCAACATTTCGCCATCATCAGATGAGTCTCCAGTCTCCGAGTTTGTTGGATAGCTCTTCACTTTGTTGGATAGCTCAATTTCCCTCAATTTGCAATTTGTTTCCCTATGATTTCCCACCTTTTCTTGTTCATCATTTCCACATAACGTGGGTGACATCCATGCTGTTTCTGCAACAAAAAAACGCCAGGCAGATGAGCCGGAGACCTTTCGGCGCTTGCCGTTGCCAGGCACTGAAGAAACCGCAGCGGAGGTTACAAAGTTGGGCACATTAGTAAGGATGACAATGATATGACAATCCCCGTCAATCTCCAAAACAGCTAGGGATACAGATAGCAAATTTTGGACCTCTTTGCAACATTGCTGAGATACCGAGTTTAAACCTGGCGATTTGGTTGGAGATCATGTTTTGCATTGAAGTTACATGGGTTTATTCATGGGTTTATTCATGGTTTCTTGCATGTACCTTCCCCGTGTTTGACCGAGCTCCATTTTTGGTGACATATGTGGACTTATTCGCTTGATTAGGGCCATGTTAATTGTTCGTTTGTCGTTGTGTGGTTCTTTTTTTTTCAGAGTCACGCAAACAAACTCCCTTGTGCTTGGCACAATTTCTTTTCACTCGAATCCAAATTTGACTTACGGATAGTAACCTAGATATAACAGCCAGTGAGCGTGACGCGCCAGAAAATATAAGAGAAAGGTGGGGGTTCAGCACACTGGCAGGTGGTGTTGCATTCACCAGCTTCCAAGAGGCCCGACATGCTACGGTGCCCAGCTTGGCTCTTGACATCCCAATTTTCATGACCAGCTCCTTCCATCCGGGTCTGGCTGTGTTTTTTTCTGCACAGTCTCAAACGTGGCAAGGGAGAACTCAACACTACTTGAACTTGAACACACACACAAATCTTGAACCCCAAAAATTGGATGTGTCACTGGTATTTATAGGTGTCCTAATTTGACCCATGGCCCGTGGGACCCATGGCCATATGAAAAAACTAGTTCTCTAGTGGATTCCATGCAGGTGAACCAGTGCTAGTCACCAGAGGATGAGCGAAAACCATGGCGAAACTTAGCGATTTTGACTTTAGGCTTTCAAAAACTAGGGTTTTAAATGGGTTTTAATGGGTTTTATGGTTCAAAAAGATGTTTTAAGATTGAGTTGCTAGTCATACGCGACGGGATTTCATTGCAGTTGGAAGCTGCGGTCGCAAGCAAATTCGCCTCCAAGCGCCGAGCGGATGGCAATGAGGTGCGGCTGTAGGTCGGGGTTGTGCTTCGCCCGGTTGGTGGCTTCAAGAAAAGCGTTTTTTTTTTTTGTTTTTTTGTTTTATCATCAAAAAAAACTTTTACAGAGCAAAACAGTTGGGATTTCAATAGGTAAAAATTGGGAATGAGGGAAGAAGAGTTTGTTCAAGAATTGGGGACAACGTGATACCTCAATTTATGTCAATGATTCTCAACCAGAGATATTTGGGGTACCTTTTTTTTAAGGGACAAAGTCGTTTTTTTTTCATCCTACTTGGGATGATGCGCGAAAATCCATCTTGATCCTCACAGCGTGTCCATGTTGATTCGATGCAACTGCCACGCATTGTTCGTGCTCAAAGCCCAGATGTAGAGTCTGGCCTGTTTTCAAAGAGTAGGATTTTTAGGCTGCTTTGGCTGCAGTGGCTGCCTCTGGCTTTGTGATGTTTAAGTGCTTTCTGCACATGGGGCAATGGGATGCAATTTGCGCCATGGGGATCCAAATCATTTTGAGACGTCTCCTCATTCAATTCCACCATTTCGTGACAGCAGTGAGAATGACTTGGATTCCTGTACATAAGTATATACTTTGAGTGTGTTCGGAGGAAATCCGGGTGAGCAATAAACATTTCATAGGATTGTAGGATTGTAGGACAGTTCTAATGGTGGCTGCGGCAGTCATGCATATATTGTGTGGAAAGGTATGTAGCCGCTTTGGTCTCTCAAGTACTATTGACTGCACAAATCCCCAGCCCTGGTGAAATGCTTGGTGCCTTCAAACCTGCTCCATGATGTCACCTCGACACAAGTTCTGCCTCTTTGTCAAGAAATCCCCAAGCTTTCATGGCTTCCATACCATTCCGTTTCGGGATTCCTTGGAACGATCGAGCCATCCCCAAGTTCCCAGGCTTTTCCAACCAAGCCTTAAGGTAACCTGGCAACAAGACCAGGGAGACGAGGCATGGACGGGGTCCTGTCAACCACTGAGCTTGATGCTCCTTGCAGGACTCCATGTCAGTTGGTTGCCCAGCAAGGATTCTAACTGCATTCACATGGCCGTAGTTGGCCATGGGAGGTCTGTTGGTGCAAGCTTTGATTGTTGATAATTGTTAATTACTCTAATTTACTATTCATTCATATAAAAAAAACTGGTGGTACAAACATCCGCATCCATTTTGTTGTTAGTACTTCTCTGCTATGACCTTTAGATTTAGATTGGTATATCGACATATGATCATATGGAGGCTTCCTGAAATGGGGGTACCCTTAAATCATCCATTTGAATGGGAATTTCCATTTTCGACGAAGCATTTTGGGGATCCTCCATTTGTGGAAACCCCCAGGTTGATATCCATCTAACGGAGGATCCCAGCTTTCAGGAGCCCATCTTGGCCCGAAAAGCTGGTGGTGCGTACCTCGACGCCAATGACAGGGATTCATCTTAATTTATATTAATTCATATTTAAGGGCTGCTGCCCTGCCGCCGACCCTGGAAAACAATATTGGCTTTGAAAGGCGGTGATTTTCCAGGTCGGTACGTTAAATAATTTCTGTGGATGGTTGTTTTTTTGGTTATATACTCATTGGATCTTACTGGTTTCTTGGATTATGATAAACAATCATGGGGATATCCATTTGCCACTTTGGGATGGTGGTATGCTCACGGGGTGATAGTTTCAACGGCTGTTTTTGAAGGCCAAGTGGGCAGTGTCCAAAGACTTTGCGGCCTGGTAAGGTAACAATCTGGTTATTTTAACGTTGCTATGGAGAAGGTAAAACATAATTCCAATCATCTATAGATGGCCCATGGCTGCCATAGTTTTGTTAAAAAAACTAGAGGGTATATAATTATTATATGTAGTATGTAGCCCGATGCTGCTGAAGGACGGAACCGGCCCGCGGGCTGCAGCTTACGATGCCTAACGTTGCTTTCTAGACGGACAAGAAACTACAGTAGCTCCCAAAAGCTTGCTATTTGCTAATGTCGGGGCTGCCCCCGCAGAGCCTTAGCCCCATGCTGCCGAAGGCTTCTTGCACCTTGCTGCCGGTAAGAAACTAGAACCAATCCAAATTGCAGCCTTCAAGCTTCTTCTGCTTCTTCTTCTTCTTCTTGCTTC